GGCTGTTAGCTGTCATTACGCAAACTATAAATATTGTTATCATGTTCTCTCTCTCTACATATGGACTGTGTAATTTCCCTATACATGCAACAAGCAGTTTTTAATAAGGCATACTGGGTATTAGCTAAAAGCCCAATTACAGCTTTACTTTAAAGTGGGCAATCAAGAAAGTTACAAGAATAAAGCAACAAAAGAAAAGAAAAGAAAAGAAAAGAAAAGAAAAGAGAGTGAGTCACCATGTCACCTCAACCTCTTGGCTTACCTTAGCTCCATGTAGGAAAGCAATAGCAAGGCCGACACCAGGGGGTTGGCTCCACACACACCCCCGCTCACTTTCCTACCATGAGCTTGCTGTTGCAGTGTGTGTTCATACTAAAAGTTTATGCATTTGTTACCCACCCTTAGAAAACATTTCATCCTCTCATACACACATCAAGGCTTGCCTGATACCTTCACTACATATCTTTAGGTGCCAGGTGAAAATGTTCCTCTGTAACCCAGCGTTTTGCCTTTTAAATGTGTGGGGGGTGTTTTGGGGTTTTTTATGGGGGTTATTGGTTTGTTCTTGTTTTATTATGTATTTTGTGTTCTCATTTTGTATTTTGCATGTTGTGAACTGCCCTTTGGTAAAAGGTGGTATACAATGCGCAGGGCTGGATTTAGGTTTGATGAGGCCCTGAGCTACTGACGGTAATGGGGCCCTTTATATGTCCAGCTGTCCTTTGTCAACAACAAATTGTCACTTTTTTATGTTGAATATATGCTATATGGTAATTTATGGACCTAATAGCTTTCTAAAGCCATTTGCACATGTTGCCATGCAACCAGTCCATGCAGAATGTAGGCACCCTATATATAGAAATGATAAAACCAGTGATATTCTAGGGAGAAGGCTAGCAGGCGGGGCCTATTACTTACATCATAGGAGCCTACACAACACAAAACACTGTTGCTGTATGTAGGTTTTATTTTATTTGTTTTTTATCTTATATTTTGGAAATGTACATCCAGTTTTTTCCTTTAATTTTTTTATATGATTTTTATTAATTTTCCAATAAAGACAAATTTATAACATCATTAAACATCAAAAACTCATCACATATCTTTTTTTTCTTTTAGACTTCCATCAACAGGTCTGATAATTTTCCGTAATTTTATCACCCTACCTTTATCACCCTATAGGACGCACCTTTTCCCCTCCAAAAATGAAGGGGAAGTCTGTGTGCGTCCTATGGGGCGAATACAGGCTTTTGCTGAAGCTTGGAGAGCAAGAGGGGTCGGTGCGCACCGACCCCTCTCGATCTCCAGGCTTCAGGAAGCTATCAGCAAGCCTGGGGAGCCCGCGGGAGTTCCCACGGGGCTCCCCACACTGCGGATGGCAGCCTGCCGCCCAGCGCGCAAGGTACCCTGAAGCAGAGCACCCCGCACCCCGGGCAGACATCTGCAGCGTGGGTAGCCCTGCGGGAGTTCCCACGGGGCTCCCCATGCTGCGGATAGCAGTCTGCTGCCCGCCGCGTGGGGTGCCCTGAAGCAGAGCGCCCCGTGCGCTGGGCAAACATCGGCCAGCCCCACAAGCTCGGGGGACAGCAGGGAGGTGCAGCGCCGCCATCCCGCTGTTCCCCGACCTGGTTTTTTGGGGGGAAATAAAGGGAAATTTTTCCTTTATTCCCCCCCAAAAAATTAGGTGCATCCTACGGGACGGAGCGTCCTATGGGACGAAAAATACGGTATTACCCTGGCATTTAATTGGATGGCTGTGTTGCTGGGGGGGATTTACTTGTTGCAAATTTGGTGGGAGGGACCGAACTGTTTAAATTCTGAGCACGCAGCTTGGTGCTTTGTGGACAAGTGGAGTCCCCAGATCCCGAGCGGTCCCCCCCGTCATGTGGAATAACGACTCAAGACAACGTGCTATGGGATTAAATTGGCCACAACTTTATTAAATTTCAAATGTGGGTAGACCTTGGCTCAGGCATTGGGCGTTCTCCCTCCCCAGTCCCCAGCCGGGGACCTAGGGAGCTTCAGGGTTATCCAGTGTGTGTGTGTGGGGGGGGATGGGCCAGCTCTGGAGAACATATGTTCAAGCAGAGGTAGCCGCCCCCATAACGCCGCCGCCGCAGAGGAGAGCAATGACGACCTTTCGGTGTACGGTCAAAGCCTCCCTTCAGAAACCCCTTTAACGGGGAACCCTGGTATCGCCGTCGCAAAGAGGAAGATGGACTAAAGGATTCCACCCAAGGCCTGATACCGCCAAAGTTGTGACGTTTTGCTATGGGAAAGGCGAAACCTGCCAATGCAGGGAAATTCCTTTCCGGCCCTTTAACAGCGACCTTAACGTAGCAGTGCCCGCATACCTGTGAAGAAAAGTTAACCTGCAAAACCTATGAAGAAAAGTTAACCTGCAAAAGAAGACATTAACTGAGGGTGGTTAGGGTGGGAGAAGCTCTGGAGCCAAGTGAGGATTCCCAGGTAAGATCCTCTCTCTATTGTGTGGGCAGGTAATCCCTCCCCTACCTGGCCTGGTCTCCTTGGCAACGCTTCCCCCAGGTGGGATTGGACAACTGACTGAGGTAGGCGGAGACCTCCAGGTATCCCACCTGAGGGAAGGCAAAGCCAAGCCTATGCTGATGGGGCCGCTCCAGATCTAGGGCTGCACGCGTCCACGCAAAGGGCGCCCCCTGTTTTAAGCGGGGAGTGGTCATTCTCTTTTGCTGTGTGAGCCGGATCACCCGCCCACCCGCCCTGACTTTGGTGGGTTTGCTTGACCTTGCTATGCCTGTCATGGGGTCTTCTGCCATTGGGGCAGGGGCCTGGTAGGAATTTTGTCCATCTGGCTGATTGTCTGGGCCATTTGGTTTTTGCCTACTGCGTAGCAAATCATCACAACTTGTAAGGTTGGCGGTTAGGCATTGGTTATCAATTGGTTGGAGGAGGGCTAAGGATTGGCTGTGCCTGCCCCTCCAATGCTGCTGCAGAAGGGAATTCCATTAAAGGAATCCAGGGGCTTGCCACGATTTTGTCCAAATCCCTGGAGAGGGGCTAGGGCCGGCAAGCCCCGGGAAGCATGCGGGTGAGCGGTGAGGGCCTGTGACTCAGCTCCAGTGCTCCCCAATATTGTTTTCCTTTACTGGCATCGATGGAGTTCGGATGTCAGTTCTGTCCCCAGGTGGGGGGGGCGGGGGGACCGATAGTCTTAACCAATGCCTAAGCAACCACTCACAGATATGTATTTTAATAAAGTTGTGGCCAAAATTATGCCAAAAACCTTAAACAAAAATTTATGTGTGAGTTGTGAGTTATTTGAGGGGTGGCTTGGGGACCTTGACACACATAGACTATACCTTTGAGCTGGAACCCAGGAACATGGTTTCAGAAGTATGTGGCCTTTGATACTGGAGGTGACTTCTAGCCACAATAACTAGTAGCCACTGAGCAACTTATCTTCCATGAATTTGCCTGATCCTCTTTTATGTAACTAATCCCCTTTGAAAACTGTCCTTGTTGGTGGCCACCAATACATTTGAGTTAGTGAATTCCATGAAGTGTGTGAGGAAGTACATTTTTTTGTTTGCCGAGATGTAGCTATATTAGCTGACCACAAGTTCCACTGTTATGGACTTTGGTCAGGTCCCCTCCTTAGTCACTTTTTTTTTTACTCAAAAGGGTTCTGTGTGTGTGTTCCCCCTCACATCCTTCCATTGTGAAAAAACAACAGTGTTTCATAATATTTTTGAACAAGAGCAACCACAATTTGTTGTATTTAATGACTATTTATTTATTTATTCAAAATTTATTCTTTAAAATGAGCATCACAGAAAAAACTACATTTGAAAAGGGAGTTTTGTATCTCAACAAAACACACATATTCTCCAGGGCTAAATGAAACATCGAGCTAAGTGAAAGACAAAAGATGACAAGTTCATAGAGTTGGTCTTTATTAATAAATTATTGGAATGACAGATTTGAAGCCAATGTGCAACCATTTTTTCTTTGTTTTGAATAACTGTATTCTCATGAGTGTATGTTTGTTCCTCATATCTGTGTCTTTGTCTGGGTTAGTCTGGTAACAATACAATCTCGATGTCCACTCTAATAACTAAGAACCTTCTAAATATGTACTGCTACTGTTGCTATGTTCTTATATTTCTCTCTACTGTATATATTGTATTTACAAATGTTCATTTTTTTGTTCATTTCATCACATTCTGAAAGCTTGTATGATTCACTTTTTTTGAAATAATGAAATATGGATTATCTCCAGCTGTCATAGAATCATAGAATCATAGAATCGTAGAATCATAGAGTTGGAAGAGACCACAAGGGCCATCGAGTCCAACCCCTGCCAAGCAGGAAACACCATCACAGCACTCCTGACATATGGTTGTCAAGCCTCTGCTTAAAGACCTCCAAAGAAGGAGACTCCACCACACTCCTTGGCAGCAAATTCCACTGTCGAACAGCTCTTACTGTCAGGAAGTTCTTCCTAATGTTTAGGTGGAATCTTCTTTCTTGTAGTTTGGATCCATTGCTCCGTGTACGCTTGTCTGGAGCAGCAGAAAACAACCTTTCTCCCTCCTCTATGTGACATCCTTTTATATATTTGAACATGGCTATCATATCACCCCTTAACCTCCTCTTCTCCAGGCTAAACATGCCCAGCTCCCTCAGCCGTTCCTCATAAGGCATCGTTTCCAGGCCTTTGACCATTTTGGTTGCCCTCCTCTGGACACGTTCCAGTTTGTCAGTGTCCTTCTTGAATTGTGGTGCCCAGAACTGGACACAGTACTCCAGGCGAGGTCTGACCAGAGCAGAATACAGTGGCACTATTACTTCCCTTGATCTAGATGCTATACTCAGAGAATAGAGCTATTGAAGTCACTGGATGTACATTATTTAAATCTCTTAAATTCCTTTGGCTTGTTCAGAGTGTGATTATTTTTTACTCACAATTTTTCTTTCATTTTTAAAATATTCTCCCCTCCCTATTCTTTGGGTTCTACCTAGCAGATGATTGCTAAAGTAATCCTCAGCCTCCCCATTCCTTTCATAAAAGCTTCTTTCACATCCTTGTTCCTGAGACTATAGGTCAGGGGATTCACCAGAGGGACCAACACTGTGTAGACCGCAGCAATTATTTTATCCTGTTCCATAGAATAGCTGGATCTGGGTCTCAAGTACATAAAGAGGAGGGTCCCATAGAACAGACTGACAGTGGTCAGATGAGAAGTACAGGTGGAGAAAGCTTTACGCTTGCTGTCATTGGAGCGTATTCTGAGGATGGTAGAGAAGATGCAGGCATAAGAGATGAGAACTACCACTGCGGTGGTAACCTCGTTAAATCCAGCAATAGCAAAAACAAGGATTTGGTTGAGACTGGTATCAGAGCAAGCCAACTGAATCAATGGTGGCCAATCACAGAAGAAATGGTTGATTACATTAGAGTCACCAAAGGACACTGTTAAGGTAAATCCTGTATTTACTAATGCATTTATAAACCCAGCTACATAAGAAGCAAAGACCAACAAAATACATAGCCTTCGAGACATAATGACGGTATAGAGCAGTGGGTTACAGATGGCCACATAGCGATCGTATGCCATGGCAGCCAAGAGGTAACATTCTGTTGTTGCACCAATAATATAAAAAAACAACTGGGTGAAACAGCTAGAGTAGGAGATTGTTTTCCTATGAGATAAAAGACTCACTAGCATCTTGGGTGTTACGACAGAGGAATAGCACAGGTCCAGGAAGGATAAGTTGCTAAGGAAGAAATACATTGGCGTCTGAAGCTGAGAGCAAGTCCTCACAATTACAATGATCCCAATATTTCCCATCACAATGATAATGTAGATCAGCAAGAAGACAATGAAGAGGGTGATCTGCAGCTTGGATTGATTTGTGAATCCCGCAAGAATGAACTCATCCACCATAGTGCAATTGTCCCCATCCATGTGCACTTGCAAGCACTTGATATATCTGTCTGTCTATATGTATATCTATGTGTACATATTCTGTTATTTGAGAGGGTGGAAATAATATTTCAGTGCCCGGTGCACATCATTCACAATGTTTTTTTAAAAAATAATGTTATTATTTATACCCTGTCCACCTGGCTGGGTTTCCCCAGGGATTTGAATTTTAAAAGGTATGTGGTTATTGTTCATGAAAAAAATATGACTTAATTATAATTTTAAAGCAGAAATATTATCAGTTTTGGGGGGAAAGGTGGATCTTTCCCCAGCAATCTCCATTATTGTAGTTCAAATGAGAGCATGAAAGTCATGTTACGGTTGACTCATGTAATGCTTCTCCTCCTTTTCCTTCTTCTTCCTCCTCTCCTCTTCTCTTTCAGGACTTCTCTCCCAAGAATCTTAACTATTGTAAGAAAATTAAAATTACTGGGCATTGAAGGCACTAGAGACAGCAATTTCCAGATATTTTCTCAATGTTTGGTGCCTGTAACCAACAAAATCTGGGTTAATAAATGCATTTTCATGAGGCACCAAAAACTCAACAGAGCTGCTACCATGGGGCATGGGGTGAAATCCCAGAGACTAGATTCTGCAACTGAAAAAGGCCTGGCTTAGCCTAGGTTACCACTAGATGTAGTTTGGCAGGCCACAGCGCAACCAGAAGCTCTCCAATTATTACAGCTGTCAACTGATTAAACAATTTGTGTTATCAGCATTCTGAATTTCAAGTATTTGACTGACTTTTTAATAATAATAATAATAATAATAATAATAATAATAATAATAACCATCTTGACATCATTTTTTTGATTATATTGAAACAAATGTACCCTAACTGGGTTTTTTTTCTTTCTTCAAATGAAATATGTGGCCAATTGTTAGGAGAAGTCATCATTCATACTGATTCTTTCATACTGATTTTTTCACAGTAATGCACCACAAACAGGTTAAAACAAACAGGTTAAATTAATTGAGTGAGCTCTTTAGCTCCGTGCCTCACTGAGAAAGCAATCCTGTACATGTATACTCAAAAGTAAATCTCACTGAATTCAATGGGGTCAGTGGGCACCAGATTACGGCTGAAAGCTTTAGGTGACAGCTAGACCAATTCCCAGCTGAGTCTCCCCCTAGCGCTGGGACCTTCTCCTGCAGAATCAGAGACCCTCTCCTTCTCCCGTGCCTCTGATGGCAGTTCCCTGACATCCACCTCCCTCCCAGGGCCCCCTTCACTCCCCCTCCGACCCGGGGGCTCTATTGCAGCCTCTTCTCTGGTCGGCGAGCCAAGGAAACCCCGGAATGAGCTGTCCTCCTCATCTGTGGGTGTGAACACCCCTTCCCACCTGCTAAGGTTCCCACCCAAGGAATGACTCTCCCAATCCGATTCTTCTTTGGATTCTGAAAACCCTTCGAAACTCTCTTCCTCCTCTGTGGTGCCGAATTGTTCTTCCCAGAATCGCTCTAATGGCTTGGGTTTATCTGGGAACCGTCGGTGGAACACTTCCACCATATGCTCGTCGCCAACTGCCTCTGCTGGCACCCACGTGTTTTCCGACCAGGGCTCTCCTTCCCATGCCACCAAGTACTCCACCTGCCGACCTCGCCACCTTGAATCAACTATCTCTGCGGCCGAACTCTGGTGTTCCCTTTCTTCTAGCTGTGGTTGTGGCATGACTTCTACCTCCCGCCCCTCGAATTCCCGCCCCTCTCTGTGTGGTGAGAGTAAGGACCTGTGGAACACGGGATGTATTTTCATGTTGTTGGGCAACCTGAGCTTGAACGCCACGGGGTTTATCTGTTGTATAACTTCAAATGGCCCCAGTCATCTGGGCTGCAACTTCTTCTTTTTTTTTTTTAATCAAAAATTTATTTGATTTTCTGCTTTTATAAAGACAAAACATACACAAAGAAAAAACAAAAAACAAAAACATGTATAAAATCAGCAAATCCCCGTTTCATAACCTTGTTCCCTGACTTCCCCCCACCTCCCCTCGTGCATCCCAGTTTCAAGATTATAACAGCAAGTTGATATTTCTCCTCTTAACAATCTTATTCATCTTATTTCGTTTTTCATAATAAAAATTAATTTTCATAAGTTGGACTTAAGTTCTCTTCCATCGATTTTCATTTTATCTTAATTGAAAGTCATCTTAACCAAACCTAAAAAGTCTTGAGAGTTTTTAAGAGTCTCTTCTTCCCTCCCTCCCGTCCCCGGTTTCTGTCCCTTCCCAATAAAAATCCAAATTCGAGATTCTCAGCCTGGGTTCCTCACGTCCGAGGCTTTCGGATCTCTTTCCGTCCCTCTCCGCCTGTCCTGTTGGTAGTCCTTTGTAGCAGTCGTCAGATCTGGGAAAAGTTCTTTCACCATCAAGATGTATCCTCTTCCGACAAGAAAATTCAAAGGTAGCTGCTGAAGTATTTCCACAAAGTCTATCTCTTCCAAGTCTAAGTCCAGACGAAGGCCCCAATCATATTTCTTTATTTTAAATTCCTGTATTTCATTTTGTCTTGGGACCTCCTCCTTCTTCTTCTGTATCTTTCGCAAACTTGTAGTGGATATGTTCCCAGCGTCTCCTTGCTTGTATTCCACAGATGTCAGCTTTTGGTTGTTACTTCCCAGGATTACTTCTTCTTTTTCTTGTTGTTTAGTCTCTTCCAGCTCTGTAGGTATTGTTTCCCAATCAGCTGTGGATTCTTTCTCATTAAGGTCCTCAATACAAGGAGCAGAGTTGCCTGTTCCCAAGGTCATAGTCTCAAGTTGTTTGTTCATGGCCAAACTCTGTTCTTGTAAGATTCCCACCAATTGAAACATCCTTTCGATTTCCACTAGTAACTTTCCTTCCACAGCCATTGTATCCATTGTAGTTTCACAGGATTCCCCCTAGGGGGAATCTGGTTACTTATTTGCCTTTTCAGCAACAATCCTTTAACTGATTGTTATTACTTTGTTTCCAACAGTTTTAACTCAATTATAACTCGTCTTAGTCCAGAGGGATCTTAAATGACAATTTCTCACTTTAAACCGCCCGTTTGGCAGCTTTGACAGCTGTCAAACTCCGCAGCTCCGCAGCTCTAACGCAGGCACAAAGGCAGGACGTTCCCGAGCCCGGGAGGGGGGGTTGTTTAAAACAAAAAGAAGGTTTCCAAAACTCCACTCTCCAGCCCAAAATTTCCTTTAGTTAAATCTTGGAAGTTAGTGTCCTTTTTAACTCACCCCGCCAAGGGTAGGCTCTCCAGCTTAGCTCTTGTGTCGTTGCTTAGATCGTCTGCAAGAGGGGGGGTGCGGACTTCCTTTTAGCACACCCCCCGGTCGTCTCCAATTTAAGGTAGATTTTTTAAAGTCCCAATCCGTCTTACTCACGGGTGATTCTTTCAGTCCAAATTTTCAAGGAAGGAAGTCAGCGCTCTCTGGTCATGGCTCGCGGCTTCGCTCCACCGAGGTAGCGATCGACTCTCAGTGCCACGCCACCCCCGTATCCCCTCCGCAGCCTTTAAAAGGGCTCTTTGCGAATCAGGGGGGCGCTTAAGGCACCCGCCGAGTCTTCAGTCCGCAGGCTTCCGCGCCTGCGGTTTTTAAGGGTCCCCGCATCGCCGGCGCGGCAAAGACCCATCCTCAGTGGAGCCGATTCCCTCCGGAGCTCGGAGGGAATCCGCCATTTCCAGATCGCGTCAACCCGGAAGTCCTGGGCTGCAACTTCTTGCACCCTCCCTTAAAGGGTAACCCTTGAGTGGACAGCCACACGCGATCCCCCACCCTTATGGTTTCCCCTTCCCTTCGGTGTTTATCTGCTTGCTTCTTGTAATTGGCCTTGGCCCTTTCTAGGTTCATCTTGAGCTGTTGATGTAACGCTTCCATTTCTTCCACAAACTGTTCAGCTGCGGGCACACTCCAGCTCTGTTCCTCGTTACCCGGGAATGCCCTGGGATGACACCCATAATTGGCCAAGAAGGGGCTCATACCGGTGGACACATGTTCAGCATTATTGTACGCAAATTCTGCTAGCGCTAGTTTCTCTACCCAATCATTCTGCCTCTCGCTAACGTAGCAGCGTAAGTATTGCTGGAGTATGCTGTTTGCCCTTTCTGCCTGCCCATTGGTTTCTGGGTGTCTCGCTGTCGAGAAGCTGACCTCGACTTGCAGTAGGCTCATGAGCTTCCTCCAGAACCGTGAAGTAAATTGCCTTCCGCGGTCAGATAAAACCCTCAAGGGGGCGCCATGCAGCCTGAAAATGTGTTCTACAAACAACCGTGCCGTTTCTTCCGCCGTCACCGCATGTGAGCAGGCGATAAAATGGCACATTTTGGTTAGCAAGTCGACTACTACCATCACTGCTGTTTTTCCCCTCGATTTGGGCAAATCCGTCATGAAATCAATTGACACCACCTCCCAGGGTTTGTTTGGTGTGGGTAAGGGTTCCAGCAAACCCGCTGGCACCGTGCGTTCCCCTTTGGCCCTCTGGCAGCGGTCACACCCTCTTACATATTCGCGTACATCTTCCCTCACCCGTGGCCACCAAAATTGTCGGGTCACCAGCATCATGGTTTTGTGTTGCCCAAAGCGCCCCGCTGTGGGGGTGTCATGTAGTTGTTTGAGTACCCTTCTTCTTAAAGCCTCCCCCGGTACGTACATCGCCCCCCGTAGTACAACACCCCTTCCTTCTCTTCGAACCCCTCTGGTGCTCCCCTCCCATCTTGGAGTTCCCTGATTTTTGTTCGTGCGAATTCATCGTCCCTAGTGAGTCCTGCCAGTTCTCTCGTGCCCGCTAGAGTTCCCCCCCACACCCATCGGTCCTCAGGTATGACGTGTCGGGTTTCCGGCGGCCCCTCTCCTTCGAAGTACTCTGGTTTCCGCAAGAGAGCGTCTGCTCTCACGTTTTGCTCGCCTGGCACATACTGGATTTCGAAGGAAAACTTGGAAAACTCCTGCGCCCAGCGAATCTGTCTCTGGTTGAGCACCCATGCTGTCCGCCAGTATTCCAAGTTCTTATGATCTGTACAGACCTGGATCTTGCGCTGCGCCCCTATCAAAAAATGGCGCCACCGACGAAAGGCGGCATAAATTGCTAGCAGTTCTCGGTCGTACACAGTGTAGTTTTGTTCCGACTTGCTCAGCTTCCTCGAGAAAAAGGCACACGGTTTCCATTCTTGCTTGTCCTGGCTGCAACAGAACCGCCCCAATAGCTCTGTCTGACGCGTCCGTCTCCAACCGCAGTGGTTTCTCCAAATCCACATGTAGTAATTGTGCTTCCGACGCGAACGCCTTCTCCAATCTTTCACAGGATCGCTGGGCTTCCTCCGTCCACACAAACTTCTTTTTACTACTGAGACAGTCCGTGATTGGGGCTGTCAAGTGTGCAAAGTTCTTGATGAACTTCCTGTAGAAATTGCCAAAACCTAGGAACCTCTGCACATCCTTTCGTGTCTTAGGGGTTTTCCACTCCAATACGGCTTGCACCTTGCTTGGGTCCATAGCTAAGCCTTTGTCAGATAGCTTGTACCCCAGGAACTCCACCTCTCGGGCATGAAACTGACATTTCTCTAGCTTGACCCACAACTGGTGTTTCTGCAATCGTTGTAGCACTTCCCTGACATCTCTCACATGTTGCTCCTCATTTTCTGAATATATCAAGACGTCGTCCAGGAATGCTACACAGTTCTTGTAAAGCAGAGACCCCAACACGTGGTGCATGAACGCTTGAAAACAGGCAGAGCCTGACTGTAATCCGAAAGGCATAACGAGATATTCAAAGGCCCCCAGGGGTGTGAACATGGTGGTCTTCCATTCATCTCCCTCTCTCATTCGGATTAAGTTGTAAGCCCCCCTAAGGTCTAGCTTGGTGAAAATCTTTCCCTTCCTCACTCTCGTCAGAATGTTGTCAATTCTGGGCATAGGGAAAGTCACAGGTTCTGACACCAAATTTACCCCCCTGAAGTCCACTACAAGCCTCGGTTTATCAGTGCCCTTTTTGTCCACAAAAAATACTGGACTACCCCCCACTGCCTTGGACTCTCTTATGAACCCTCTCTTTAGGTTCTTGTCGATAAAGTCCCGTAACTCCTTCATTTCCCTGTCTGACATGGCATACAGCTTACCTACCGGCAGGTGCGCCCTGGGGAGCAAATTGATCTGGCAATCGAACGGCCTGTGGGGTGGCAGTTTATCTGCCTCCTTCTCACTGAAAGCCTCTTTCAGATCAGCATATTGTGGTGGCACCTCCCCTTTACCCTCCACTGCAGTGCTAGACACTCTGGCTATGCTCATCCTTGGCGTTTCCCCGCCTAACCAGTGCTGCAGGCAGTAGTCAGACCCAAAGCTGACGGTCCTCTGATGCCACGCCACCACCGGATCATGTTGCGCTAGCCAGCTCATCCCTAATATTATTGGGGGACCCGCTAATGAGGCCACGTGGAAGGCAATTGTCTCTGAGTGCCTAGACACTCTCATTCTCATCGGTGGGGTCTGGTGTGTAACTTCCCCCCAATCAGTTCCCTCCCATCAATGGTGGTGACTTGCAGAAGTGTATCCAAAGGTAGCAGGTGAAGCTGATGCTCTAAGGCAAAGTCCCTGCTAAAAAAGTTGCATGAGCTTCCTGAGTCCAGCATACCCTGAACCCTCACTGGGTGCCCATTAGGGAGTTCTAGTACCACCTCGATGGCAATTGCGGCTCTTGGAGAATCTGGTTTGGGCACATTCATTGGTTGTTGGCTCGGCTGCTGTGCCCGCTGATTGGCAGCCAAGCGTTTCCGTTTCCCTACTCCGGAGTCTGGGGTTCTTCCTCCTCACCTCCCACGGCCCCCACCATTCCTTGCCAGGCCTTTCTTTGTGGGCAGACTCTGGCAAAATGTCCTGGCCGTTGGCAAAGGAAACATTTCTTGGTCGTTTTTACATCCTTTCCCTCCTTTTTGCGACTCTCGCTGGAGTTTGAAACTTCCTGGGCGCGCGCACCGCCTATTTCCATTGGCTCCGCCGGCGGGGAAGGCTGCCTAGGTAGTCTAGGAATGTGGTAGTCATGACAACGCTGCTCTCTCCCTTCCCGCCTCTCTTGAGCCCGCGCTTCCTGTCTTACGCCAATCGCAAGGACTGCCTTGGTCAGCTGATCCATAGACTGTGGGCGGGGTGCGCGCGAAAGCTCATCTTTGACCGTTGGTGACAACCCCTCCTCAAATAGCATTTGTATGGGCTCCAAGTCCAGCTGCCACCCCAGGCGATGAACTATCATGGCAAAACGTGACCAATAGTCTCTAACTGACCCTTCTCCCTGCTTACAGTTCAGCAGTTCCCGTTTGGTCACACTCTGTTGCACATCGCTACTGAACATCGCGTCCATCGCCTGAAAGAATTTTGGTAGATCCTCCATGGCGTCATTCTGCGTCGCCATAAGCGGTCGAATCCACTCTCTCGACCCGTCCTGCAAGTGCCCCACAATATAAGCAACTTTGGCTGCGTCATTTTCAAAATCGTTTTGCTGCAGCTTCAAGGCATATTCTATTTCTGTTCTAAACGCCCCATACTCTTGAGGCTTTCCCCCAAACTTGTGCACCAGTCCCGGTACCTTCCTTGCTATGGGGGTGGGTTTCCCCTGAGCATCCTGAGACCGTCGTTCGTCCAGCCTCGCCGTCAGGATGGCTATGTGCTCTTCCAGATCGCGGTTTCTCTCCTCCAGCGATTGGCCTCCAGCCGCCCCTCTCGTGGCTCCGACTTCTCCGGTCTTACTCATGATGCCCCCCTTCTGCTTGTTGCGCACGAGCAACTTTCAGTGACAGACAGATTGCTATAATGGTTGGGAGTTACTCGTGCGTAATCCTGCTCCGTTTGAGCATTAGATTGCCTGGTTAAACCTTCCGGACTGCACAGCCCATCTCAGCGTGGCTGCCCTTAGTCACTCGTAGAATCTGTCTGTGGGCGTTTCTTAAAGCGTTGCCAACATAAGAGTTGTTTGACGCCCAATGGTCTCCGCCTCTCACTGCGCGGGAGTCTCCTGCGCAGGGTGGGCGTGGGCAGCGGGGTGCTTGGGCTCTCCTCACTAACTTCCAACGAAGAGTCCTGGAGCCCCTGCACCTCCCTGTCCCGTTGCTCTCCTGGATCCCTGGTGTTACACTCATTCTCTTCCCCTTCTTCCCAGCTGAGTCTCCCCCTAGCGCTGGGACCTTCTCCTGCAGAATCAGAGACCCTCTCCTTCTCCCGTGCCTCTGATGGCAGTTCCCTGACACACAGATAATAATAATACAACTGATACAGTGGTTTTTTTTCCAGTGGGTACTCAAAGGGATGCAGTACTATCATCTCTTTTTGTTGTGGTTAAAAAGTGTGGCACTTGCTGTAACAACTTCTAGGAAAAAAAAGCATTGCAACTAAAGTTTTGTCATAATGTTTCTTTTCTCCAAGATGGGGAATTCTCAAAATGCTCCAGAGATTAAACCCCAAAGGCCATAAAAGTGAATGAAAAACAGCTCCCGCACACACAAGTAGCATTTGCTTTTGAATTCAAGGAAGAGCATCTTCTCTCTTCCTTCACGGCTTCCCATGATAAGGATCAGACAGGTAAGAAGGGCAGGAACAAAGTTAGGATTGGTCCCAGAAAATGTTGGCCACTGCAACTAAAAACAGTTCTCAGCAGAACTGGAACCCTCTCTTTCCTTCCAGGATCCTTCAGAGGCAAAGACCTTCCCTTCAGCATTAACTCTCACAATAGCCACATAGCTTTTCATAAACTTTACCCCAGATTTAGACAACTGGTGGGAGATTTTCCTTCTCCTTTCACATTTTGTGGTCACTATAACACTAGCTATGTAACCTGGAAGCAATTTCATGTACCCATTTCTAATTTGATCAGTAAATAAATGTTGTAAAGTCTTCAATAGGTACATCCCTTGGTTGTCTAGTAAGATATGTGAAAAATACACCTTTCCCATAGTCAACATTCTAATAGTTTTTAATACTGATATTAAATTGACCTGTTTCATAAAGATTTTTGCACACAGTATTTTTTCCAGCTGAGTTTTCTTTTAGAATGATATTTTTAATCACATGCTAAAAACATGAGAAACAAAAGCATCCTTTGAAGTAAAAATAAATAAAAAATGTAGTGAGTGGACTTTGAATTTAATATGCTTCTTGCATTTTATTTCTTTGTTAATTAAATTTATATGCTATCCTTCCTCACACAGGAACACAGGACAGCAAATAAGAAATGATAAAACAACAAAAACATATCCAGTATAAATACAGAATATTTCAAAGTGATGAACCTTTAGATTAATCTGGTTCTCTTTCAAACCAATTACAGAATCATTTAAGTCATCCAGATCTCTCTCTATCCAGCTCACAAGACTCTACCCAGACCATGCACAGAGGTGTCAACATGAAGCCTTTACTCTTCATTGACAAAATAATACGGCAACAGATAATCTTGTTCAAAGCTGATTTTTGAGTCAACAATCTTGTATCCACTACCATCTTCCCCAATTCTTAGCGATAAAGCATGATCTCAAAGGAATGGAGAAAGGAAATTACACTTTGGTATCAGAGTTCATCCTCCTGGGATTCACAGACCACCCAGAGCTGCAGATCCTCCTCTTTGTGGTGTTTCTCACAATCTATGTTGTCACCTTGATGGGGAATTTTGGCATCATCCTCATAATCCGGCTTGAAGTGCGACTCCACACTCCCATGTACTTCTTCCTCAGTCACTTGTCCTTTATTGACATTTGTTATTCTTCATCCATCACACCCAAATTGCTCGTGGACATCATCTCTGAGGCCAAAGGAATTTCTTTCTCTGCTTGTGCAGTACAGATGTACCTCTTTGTTAATTTAGTGGTGGCTGAATCTTACCTTTTGGCTGTGATGGCATATGATCGCTACGTGGCCATTTGTAATCCCTTGCTGTACACAGTGGCCATGTCTAGAAAGCTCTGCAAACAACTGGTAGCTGTTTCTTACATGTGTGGAATGGTTTGTGCCCTAGTTCACACTTGTTCTGCTTTTCGGCTAGTTTTCTGTGGGCCAAATGTCATCCATCACTTCTATTGTGACATTTCCCCAGTGTTAGCCATATCCTGCTCTGACAACAGCATCAATAAGATGTTACTTTTCATTTTTGCTACCTTTGAGGAGACTAGCACCATAGTGATCATTCTCATGTCCTACATTTTCATTATTATATCTGTATCCAGGATTCGCACCAATGAAGGGAAATACAAAGCCTTCTCCACTTGTGCCTCTCACTTCACAGCCATCACTATATTCCATGCTACCATTCTCTTCATATATTGCCAGCCAAATGCTAGCCATTCTTTGGAAAGAGACAGAATTGCTTCTGTATTCTACACAATAGTGATCCCCATGTTGAATCCCCTGATTTACAGCCTGAGGAACAAGGAAGTGAAAGGTGCCTTCAAAAGGCTGATGCGCCTCAGGTTGCATGTGGATCTAGGGTAGAGGAGCCCTCCCACCTTAGCTCCCCAATGTTGTTGAACAACAGTGGCTAGCATGGCCAAGGGTCATGGATGCTGGGAGTTGTAGTTGAACAGCATCTAGTGACCCAAGACTAGGAAAGTGCTAAATTCTAGGACTCCTTCTTGTTTGCTGTTCTGGTGACCAGCTGCAGTTGCAACGTGGACAAAGTTATTCCTTATGGTCATATGTTCATAAAAAGTGTTCTTTGCAAGTGTTCTTTGTAATCCATTTCCAGAAGAGGGTCTAAAAGATGCATGCATGCAACCAATATTGAGATCTATACCATATTTTCCAATGACAGCTGGATATATCTATGTATGTATTCATTTTAGAACATTGCAAAATAAAACTAGAAATATGAATCAAACTTAGAATGGGAACAGTATTTATTTGGGAACCATTGTTCCACATTTAAAAATATGGTAGATTTTGATGACCACCTTTATATTATGAGGCTGAAGAAGGCTTATTTGATTAGGAAGGGGAGTAGCACCAAAACTGCAGAAGGCCATGAAGGCATGCACAATACTTTATGCAACTTTGGCAAAGGTTACATTCTGGGAGTCTGCACACAAAGGCAAAGTACTGTGATGTCAGGAAGACCCCAGGAACCACCCCTGCATGATTATCCCAACTTTTGGGGCTGTGGGAGGCTTGCAGGGCCATCCAGGATCTCGCAGGAGCTTTCCACAGCCTTCTAGAGGCCTTGAGTGTCCTCCTCAGAGCCCAGTAAGCAGGTTAAGGTCTTAAAAGTATTTCCAGTGTGAAAAGACTTTGTAAGCCCTCCACCTTGCTTACCGGACCCTGGAAAGATTGTGTGAGATCTCAAATGTCCTGTTCTGACTGTTTCCCTCCTGTTCTCCATTTATTTTCCTGCCACACATGCAAAGCCACCACTGTAAATGATGCATAAGTTGCAGGTCTATTGTATTGCCTGAATGTGTCTGGGCTGAAGACGGCTCAGAACTGTACAAAAGCAGATGCCTTTTCTGGGCAGCTTCTTCCGGGGTAGGTGGGGGGTGGGTTGGGTGTCTCTCCAAAATCTCTCATCTCAAAATCACAATTAATATTGGGGAAAATTTTGGAGGGCAGAAAAAAATATCATGAAAGTTGTTCCCATTTCTGTTGTAAAAGGTATCATGGAAACTCTATTCAGTAGGTAACATTTATCAGTGCAAGCTGCTCTACAGATTATGACACTTGCTACATGCAATATTTGAAGCCCGTTTTCAAGTGACTTCTACACTGTGATCAATGATCATACAAGAATGGTGTAGGTAGAATGAAAGTGTGGCTCTAGATCTCATGCAGCTTGGCCAAAGAAAATCTGCCTCCAGCGGCTGAAGAAATTATTAATGGGTTTACCCTGAGTTAGACAAACACAGAATACAACCCAATCATGAGAACGTTTCATGGATATTAATTGATGATTTTTAATTTTGTATTATTTTCCTTGAATGAGGTTCTAAATAATAGAAAGGCAGAATCATACCCCTAAAGATTCAGTATTCCCTTGACATTGCTTGCATACCTGTGGTTTTAATTGCTGCAGACAAATAAATAAATACACACACATATCTATAGAGGAAAATAAGCAGCTATAGCTAGGAATTTAGTTAGACACACACATCTTATTTCCCTCTCAAATGAGCTTGTTAGGTTGATTCTCCCAGGGACAGATTATGCAGCATTTATTTTCCTGACCCATGTGGTCCTTTTGATGTAGATCTAGCCATGATTATCCATGGAATAGTCCCCACTACCACCCAAACACACCAGAGCACATTAGTTTTTGCCATATTAAAATGCTGGTCAAATAAATGCTTTTATTCAAAACCACGGGCATGTCTCTGACAGGGCAGAAGTCCAGCTCGCCGAGGGCTGTTAGCTGTCATTACGCAAACTATAAATATTGTTATCATGTTCTCTCTCTCTACATATGGACTGTGTAATTTCCCTATACATGCAACAAGCAGTTTTTAATAAGGCATACTGGGTATTAGCTAAAAGCCCAATTACAGCTTTACTTTAAAGTGGGCAATCAAGAAAGTTACAAGAATAAAGCAAGAAAAGAAAAGAAAAGAAAAGAAAAGAAAAGAAAAGAGAGTGAGTCACCATGTCACCTCAACCTCTTGGCTTACCTTAGCTCCATGTAGGAAAGCAATAGCAAGGCCGACACCAAGGGGTTGGCTCCACACACAGCCCTGCTCACTTTCCTACCATGAGCTGGCGTTATATGTCAGGGATGTGTATACCTGTGAAGAGATCCAAGATTTAAAACCTCAAAGCCAAAGTGAGAGCATTTGGGTCAAAATTAAGGGAGAGAAGAATAACAGTGACCTCATTGTGGGAGTTTACTATGTGGGACATAGACGATGCCTTCCTGGAACAGATGGCCAAGCATGCAAAAGGAAGGGAGATAATAGTAATGGGGGACTTCAATTACCCGGATATTTGTTGGATGTCAAACTCAGCCAAGAGCATAAGGTCAAACAGATTCCTCACTGGCCTTGCAGACAACTTCATTGTCCAGAAAGTGGGAGAAGCAACAAGAGGAACAGCCATTTTAGATCTGGTCCTAACCAATGTTGATGACCTGGTTAGTGGGGTAGAAGTGGAAGGATCATTAGGCGCGAGTGATCATGCTCTTCTGAAGTTTACTATACAGCGGAAAGGAGCAGCCAAGCATACTAGGACTCAATTTCTTGACTTTAAGAAAGCCGACTTCATAAAACTTAGGGAAGTGCTGGGTGAGATCCCATGGACAGTAATACTAAAAGGAAAGGGAGTTCATGATGGCTGGGAGTTTGTTAGGAGGGAGATAGTAAAAGCACAACGTCAGGCAATACCAATGAGACGGAAACATGGGTGGCTAACTTTTAACTGAGTTAAGATTTAAAAAGGATGTGTACAAAAAATGGAAAAGGGGGGAAGCCACCAAAGAGGAATTCAAACAAATAGCCAGCACGTGTAGACACAAAGTCAGAAAAGCTAAAGCACAGAATGAACTCAGGCTTGCTAGAGAGGTTAAAAGCAACAAAAAAGGCTTTTATGGGTATGTTCGTAGCAAAAGGAAGAACAAAGAAACAGTGGGGTCACTCAGAGGAGAGGATGGTGAAATGCAAACAGGGGACACAGAAAGGGCTGAACTCCTCAATGCCGTCTTTGCCTCAGTCTTCTCTGATAAAGAAGAAAATGCCCGACCTGAATAATTTGGAGCAAATGATTCAACAGAGGAAACACAGCCCAGAATAACTAAGGAGATAGTACAAGAATACTTGGCTAGTTTAGATGTATTCAAGTCTCCAGGGCAGATGAACTGCATCCTAGAGTATTAAAAGAACTGGCAGATGTGATCTCAGAACCACTGGCAGTCATCTTTGAGAATTCCTGGAGAACAGGCGAAGTCCCGGCAGACTGGAGGAGGGCAAATGTTGTCCCTATTTTCAAAAAGGGGAAAAGAGAGGACCCAAATAATTACCGCCCAGTCAGTCTGACATCAATACCAGGGAAAGATTCTGGAGCAGATCATTAAGCAAACAGTCTGTAAGCACCTAGAAAGGAATGCTGTGATCACCAATAGTCAGCATGGATTTCTGAAAAATAAGTCATGTCAGACTAACCTGATCTCGTTTTTTGACAGAATTACAAGCCTGGTAGATGAAGGGAACGCAGTGGATGTAGCCTACCTTGATTTCAGCAAGGCATTTGACAAGGTGCCCCATGATATTCTTGTAAAGAAGCTGGTAAAATGCGGTCTTGACTATACTACCACTCAGTGGATTTGTAACTGGCTGACTGACCGAACCCAAAGGGTGCTCATCAATGGTTCCTCTTCATCCTGGAGAAGAGTGACTAGTGGGGTGCCACAGGGTTCTGTCTTGGGCCCAGTCTTATTCAACATCTTTATCAACGACTTGGATGATGATCTCAAGGGCATCCTGATCAAATTTGCAGATGACACCAAACTGGGAGGGGTGGCTAACACCCCAGAGGACAGGATCACACTTCAAAACGACCTTGACAGATTAGAGATCTGGGCAAAAACAAACAATATGAATTTTAACAGGGAGAAATGTAAAGTATTGCACTTGGGCAAAAAAAATGAGAGGCACAAATACAAGATGGGTGACACCTGGCTTGAGAGCAGTACATGTGAAAAGGATCTAGGAGTCTTGGTTGACCACAAACTTGACATGAGCCAACAGTGTGACGCGGCAGCTAAAACAGCCAATGCAATTCTGGGCTGCATCAATAGGAGTATAGCATCTAGATCAAGGGAAGTAATAGTGCCACTGTATTCTGCTCTGGTCAGACCTCACCTGGAGTACTGTGTCCAGTTCTGGGCACCACAGTTCAAGAAGGACACTGACAAACTGGAACTTGTCCAGAGGAGGGCAACCAAAATGGTCAAAGGCCTGGAAACGATGCCTTATGAGGAACGGCTAAGGGAGCTGGGCATGTTTAGCCTGGAGAAGAGGAGGTTAAGAGGTGATATGATAGCCATGTTCAAATATATAAAAGGATGTTACATAGAGGAGGGAGAAAGGTTGTTTTCTGCTGCTCCAGAGAAGCGGACACGGAGCAATGGATCCAAACTACAAGAAAGAAGATTCCACCTAAACATTAGGAAGAACCTCCCGACAGTAAGAGCTGTTCGACAGTGGAATTTGCTGCCAAGGAGTGTGGTGGAGTCTCCTTCTTTGGAGGTCTTTAAGCAGAGTGACAACCATATGTCAGGAGTGCTCGGATGGTGTTTCCTGCTTGGCAGGGGGTTGGACTCGATGGCCCTTGTGGTCTCTTCCAACTCTATGATTCTATGATTCTAAGCTTGCTGTTGCAGTGTGTGTTCATACTAAAAGTTTATGCATTTGTTACCCACCCTTAGAAAACATTTCATCCTCTCATACACACATCAAGGCTTGCCTGACACCTTCACTACATATCTTTAGGTGCCAGGTGAAAATGTTCCTCTGTAACCC